CCTTTTGTAAGACTCCGCTCCCTTCTTCCTTTAACCGGAAACCAGATGGATTGGTTATCAAATCCATTGAGACTCCAAATCCGCATTTCATCTGGATTGGTTATCAACTATCAACTCTGAACGCCCCTAACCGAACTATCAGTGAGTCCAACGTCATACAATCTGGGGCCCAACGTCCTCTCTTTAGGTCCGTTGGCCCACCAACCGCCCCTACCAGTGAACCCAACGCCTTTTTTTATTAGGTCCATTGGCCCACCACTATCCGACGGTTGGCCTCTCTCTTAGGCCCATTGGGCCCACATTTGTCCGACGGTCGGGAGTCGCTTGGTCCGGGAGGCTCGTAAGAGTTGTCTATTATCCCTGCAATCACCACGTGATCTTTCCCCGTGTTTTATCCTCACTCGCACGGTACTGCAGACTACTTTCCGGTAGGTCATCCATCCTGAGATTACTCCAGCATAAGCACGCTTAACTCTGGAGTTCTCTCAAGACATTTGACCGAAAAAGATAAGTGCATTTTGATGACATAGATAGCCAAATCAATTCTTATAAGCCTTTTTCACATATACCGGAAATCAGGATGTCACAATTCTCCCCGACTTCCAAGGAATTCGTTCTCGAATTCTCAACCACGTCCCAAGACGCCACCCGGGTCAGAGCCGGTTGGCTAACCTGACGCTTTGATACCAATTGTGAGACCCCGCTCCCTTCTTCCCTTAACCGGGAACCAGATGGACCGGCTATCAAATCCATGAGACCCCGAATCCGCCTTTCATCTAGATTGGCTATCAACTATCAACTCTGAACGCCCCCAACCTCCCCTACCAGGAGCCCAACGTCATACAATCTGGGGCCCAACATTCTTTCTCTAGGCCTGTTGGCCAACCAACCGCCCCTACCAATGAGCCCAACGCCTATCTCTCTTAAGTCCGTTGGCCCACCACTGTCCGATGGTTGGCCTCTCTTTTAGGCTCATTGGACCCATCCCTGTCCGACAGTCGGGAGTCGCTTGGTCCGGGAGGCTCGTAAGAGTTGTCTACTGTCTTTGCAATCACCACGTGATCTTTTCCCGTGTTTTGTCCTCACTCGCACGGTACCGCAGATTACTTCCCGGTAGGTCGCCATCATGAGATTACTCCAGCATAAGCACGCTTAACTCTGGAGATCTCTCAAGACATTTGACCGGAAAAGATAAGTGCACTTTGATGACATAGGTAGCCAAATCAATTCTTATAAGTTTTTTTCACGTATACCGGAAATCAGGATGCCACACCTTTCATGATAATGTGCTCTTATACTATTGTTATCAACTTTGAAATGATTCTTTATTAATTAGTTTTGTGTGATTGATGATCAGAGGTTCCTAAAATGAAAAATACTTCACCTTTCAGGATATGCTTGGGAATTGGAAAATGAGAGCAAATGAACCTGGAGATGAATTATCTGTCTCCATTGAATCGCAGCATCCTCAATACGGTAAATATTTCTTTGAGACATTGAAGGCCAAAAGAATACCTCAAGAACGAGTGTCTGATCCCGCAGTTTTCTTCTGGTTGATGCCTCATAAAGTTGCGATTTGGATCTATTGGCATGTAAGTGAGACACATAACTCAAGATCTTTTAAGTATATACACTCAATAATGTGGATCTAACCTTTTTTGGTTTTTAGGCACTTAATCTCTGGTGGAAGAATGTACCTTTCATCCAAACCAACACCCTAGATACTCAAACCCATCATACAGAGAAGAATCAGCGAAACGTGATCAAGAACTTCGTTGTGTTGGATTAGATGTATCAAACTCTGATGAAACCATCAACCTTGGTGAGTTTAAAGCAGATAGTTATAATAGTAGTAGTAGTTTTGGAGGATGTCGCTTTGCGTGGCGAGATGCTAATTGGCCTTGGTTATGAATAGTGAATACATACACTCTTAAGGTAATAATAGTTCTCTTTTTCCATTTGCCTAATTTGTACTTTTCTCTTTTGTGGAAATGTTCAAAAACCAGAATTGTCACGGACCTATTCTTGACATTCAACTCTCTATTCATACCTGAAAATGACACCAAAATCTGTTTCCACATCCATGTCTTTTCTCAATGAGTATGATTTAACACATTGTTGAAATCACACCTTTTCTCTTTTGATTTAGGGGCTAGGCTGATTGTCAGTTCGGAATTTACAGTCATTCATTGATGGTAAGATTGGCAAACATTTGAAAATCTCATCTCAGGTTTTAGTTGACTTGTTTTGATTTTGGCTTGAAAACCAATGAACGTTTTTTGATAAGCCTTAAATGTGACTTGATTTTCTTGCTATCAACCATATCAATTATGATTTACAGTTTGTTTAGCTATCCAGAAAAAAGTTTGTACATTGCACTAGTTGTCATTCTATAATAATTCTACCATAATATGCGTTTTTGTTGTAAACTTTGAATTTATTGAAGAAATAATTTGTCAAAATAGATGCTCCTTATTCTTTTCACTGTACAAAAATTTGTTGGTCTAATCAGTTGATCTTCTTATTTATGGTCACAGTCCTTCATCTTTAAAAGACTTTATTGAAGTTAACACCTCATATAGAATTTGATATTCAACTATACGATCCTACCCTATCCAATGAAACAAAGTTAAACTGGTTTTGGGTATCCACATTATTTATTGGGAACTGTAGTTTTGTCGGAATCTGATTCTTTGGATCAGCTTTCTGATGATATTTGTTGTTTGATTATACAAAGTATTGTTTCTTCACAAATGTCTTCTTTTTTTTTGTAACTAAAATGTTTTCATAAGTGTTTTCATTTTCATGTTTGTTCTTTTGGTTCAAATTTTCACTTGACATTTATACGATAAATTTGTTTTTAAAATCCTCCTAAAATTAGGTTTAGAGGGTAGAATCGGATGGATTTTCAGTTTTTTTTTTTGCCAAATTTTGTTTTTAACGAGTTTTCTGACCATATTTTGTTTATTTCTTGTAATTTTAGATTATTTATGTTTTCTCTTCTTTTAAAATTCTTTAATAGAGCAAAAAAAAAATCAGCCTAGTCCACATAAATAAATGTTATAGATAAAAATCAGAAATAATGTTGGGTTCGTTTGGAGTCAAACCGTGCCAATTGCAAACTTCACATCAGGATGATTGGATTTATAGCCCACTTATGGTTGATTGTTTGTTACCTTGCGAAACTCAACACTAACCACATGTTAAATTCGCTCCCAAATTTGACTTCTTTGTTTTTGAAATATAAATGATTTTCTATTTTCAACGTGCTTTTATTTTCAATATATTGTCTGTATATGGACACATCTAAATAGGATTCGTGGACTACTTTTTATTTTATTTTGGTTAATGGGATAAAGTGAAATTATTTTGCGAAAAGAGTGAATCAATTGAATGGTGCATGGGCAACCACCAAATCACCAATCCTAAGGTCGTTGATTACTATTCTAGTATTTCTCATGACTCGCGTGATTTACTTTCATGCTAGTTTCTCACCTAAAATATAAAATAAGATAAATAAAAGAACAAATCAAATGTCAGTTTCTTTTTCTTTACGCAAATAAAATGTTAGTTTTTTTGTTAAAAAAATAAAATGTTAGTTATACTTTTAGATATTTTAGCTTTAGTAAATTCAGCAACAGCTCCAACACTATGTTTCGGGCCTCTTGCCGTTTTTTTAAATAGTATGAATATGAAACATATATACCGAAAAATACAAAAAGAATGATCCATATGCAATTAATTAGGAAAAGGAGTAAGAAAATGATGAAGATTTTCAATGGTCGAAATAGCGAAACCAAGTCTTTATAGTAAGGTATTCAATATTTCACAAACTTTGAAATATCCAAAACCAGAATGGAAATGCCATTGATGTCAAAATAATTTGTTTTTATGTCAAAATAATTTCTCAACCGATTTCATTTCAAATATATTTTGTTGACGTAAACAACTTTATTAGTGGATGATGTTTAAACTAAAATCAATAACTAATCAAAATATTAGTCGCTACCATGTAGTGTTTTGTTTTTCTACGAATCCTTATCACTTGGTCATAGCCGTGAAACAAGTAGAGTATAATTAATCTTCTACAAGATTAATTAACCAAAGATTTTTAAAGGAGCAGCGTATGGAGACACAAGCACGTGCATTAATCAGAGATTATTATTTTTGACTCAAGTGACAAATGAGTTAGGTACGAAATGCCAGACAGTGAAAGGATTGAAATATGTTTTAAGTATGTATTTAAAATGAATTATCAAAAATGCAAAAAATATGAAACTATATTCAATCAAAACATGTATTTGATAAATATTTGAAAAAGAAATACAAATTGTTACTTGGAACGTTACTTTCGGCTCAGATGTTTACATCTAACCTTAGTACGAATTTAATTAGAACAAGGAATTACACACGTGCCAAATCTGATAGTTCATTGGTTAGAGGGTTCAGCTCCACCACATGGATTCGATTTATGGCAAGTAGAGAAGAAAGAAATCGAACAAGAAAAAAAAAACACGTTTATGAATCAGTATCTTAATTCTTTATGAATTATTAAATAAAGTTAACGTAAAACACTTATAACAAAAAGAAAAAGTTATGTTAACACCGCCAAGATTTTAATATTTGCGTGTGCAGTGATCACATAATTTACCTAAAAAGATAGGCGTCACACACTTTAGTATACCGGTAAAGTGCAAAGTAATAAATAACTACATACCAAAGATACAGAAATATTTAACAAATAATTTAAGTCAATCAAAAGGAATGTAATCATAAGAAATTTTAAAAATGTGTAAAATGCCTCCAAACCGCCCGTAGAAATTTAGAATAAATATTAAAAATTCCTTTCATTCCTCGTTAAATCGATACAAAATCCAAACCTTACAAGATATAAAAATATAAAAGCATTTTCCACGTGAGAGAATTAAAAAAGAAGCTGTAATCCGTCTGTCCTAATTAGATACCGCCGTTATAAAACCCGTGTTCTATTTTCCACCGTCTCTCTCACACACACACACACATATATATATATATATACTTTGTCTACCTCTCATCTCAAATCCAGACACAATATCATCATCGTTATTCTTCTTACAACTAATGAAGATGCATAAAAATTGCGACTTGGAACTTCGTCTTTTTCCTACTTCTTCTTATAAATCCGATTCAAATACTTCGTAAGTCTCTCTCTCTTCTGGAAGTTGATTTATGGGCAAAATCGTATATATGAAACTGATAAATTTTACATTTAATGGATTTGAAGTGTGGTAGAATCAAGAAGCTCACAACTAAAGGAAGAATCTCAAAGAATAACAATTTTTTACAATGGACAAATGTGTGTTTCTTCAGATGTTACCAAGCTTCAGGTATGTATCTGCATACAAATTCATAAACATGGTTCTGTTTTCTTTTAAGAAATTATTAATCGATGGACTTGTTAATAATTAGTGATTATGAATAAATGTAGGCTAAATCGATTATATCGATCGCGAGCAGAGAAATGGAAGAGAGGTCATCCCGATTTTATAATCAGCTTTCAACTAATCCAAAGGCTTCTATGAAAAAATCTCTCCAAAGTTTTCTTCAGAAACGGAAAATTCGAATTCAAGCCACTTCACCTTACCATCAGCATTCACGACGATAGAGTTTATTTTATTTGTTAGTAGTTTTTTTTATTATGTTTTTAGTAATCCAAACTAGAATTCAATTTTATTATGTTTCTCATGTGTTTGTTATACTCTAACACACATACACAAATATATCTATATGCATATGTAGTATATAATTGATCCTAATATCGATTTTGAATCTGATTTCTATTAGTATATTTTTGTTAACCTTGACCAATATAATTATTTCTAACCTGATGTCTTTGTCTATATACAGTATATTGTCAGTTCTATAACAAAGTAAATAGGAATACACTACAAAAACATGTCACATTTTTACTAAAATTCTTAATAAATTAATATAGACGATAGTGTTTAATTTATTTTTTAATTATTTTTTCAGAAGTTTTTTTTTACTATTATTCAAATTGGAATTCCATTGTATTATGTTTCTCATGTGTTTGTTGTTGATTAGAGAAGTACTCCCAACACACACACATATAAAAAAACATAGAGTAAAAACTCTAAATTTTGGACCAATTTCTATACGTTTCTAATATAGAAGTACTCTATGTTTGTTGTTTAGACTCTAAACTTAGAAGTACTCCTAAACAATTTCTGTCTAAAACCAGAGTAATTATATGATTCAATTTTAAAAATTAATTGGTTAAATTGAAATTGACTATGTAATAGAGAATCTAACCACAACGCAGCCTCAAACCAAAGCAAGATTTAAACCAAGTCATATACTAACTACTCGAGATCAGTTTGATGATAAGAAGTTATCAGACATAGCAAAAAAGAATAATGCTTAAAATAAAGAAGATGATGGTTCAGTAATCAGTATTATTTTTGTAATGCAAAATAGAAAAAAAATCAGCTTAAAAAAATAAGCAACTAAACAAAGAGAAGATATCAAATAAAAATGAACTAAACAAAGAGAAAACATTAAGCATATAAATAAAATAGAATCAGGATCAATGAATGCTTCTCATAAATACAGCAGTTTTATGAAAAAAAATGAAAAAAGGGAGAAAGTTGTTTCGATAAACCTTTGGTGGACTAATATTTTGGGCATGTAAATAGGTTAAAAGGAGTAATGTTATAGTAAACGACACACACTAGATTTTGTATATTTGACATTTTTGAATAAATTTTTACAAGATAATTATAGAAATTGAAGCATCAACGCCGTTCGTGAAGTTTTTTCATCGCCATAAACCATAAATTAAAAAAAAACATAACCACGTAAATGTAGAACGATATGTTTTAAATGAATTGTATACATCATTAAATAAGAACTATAAACCATAAACTAAAAAACAAACATAATCAAGTTTGGTTTACTAAATTATCTAAACCACGTAATATAGAATGATACGTTTTAAGTGAATTATACACATCATCAAATAAGAATCAATTAAAAAATTATACATAAGATGTTAAAGTGAAAAAAGTATAAACATCGTTTCACAGTCGAAACTCGCTAAGAACACGACACATAAGCAAGTTACTACACAATTAAGTATATAAATTATCTCTACATTACTATCCTCTCTCTTTTTATATTTTAGGTCATCATCTCATCATTAATATATCATACATCTGTATCTTTTTCTCTTTTTCGCACTATTTCTTTCAAAACGATTACGACTCCCCTATAATCCTATTACCATATAATCCTATTATCTACTCAAAAATTTATTTCCCTCACTGCTCATTCATAATTGTCCATCAATTAAGGCAATCATAGCTGAGCTATGGTGGTTGTATGTACTATATTTAAAATATATCTCACACACAGTTAGAAGAACAATCACACTTACAGCCAAAACAACAAAATCTCTTGCTTTTTCTTAAGCAATTTCTTTTGTGTTTTTTCCTTTTTTAATGGCGTCCAAAGCAAACATTATGAATGCAGCAATAATTTAGAGCATTGGCAAGTTCCTGAAGTTTGCATAAGACATGATCAAGGCAAACAACTTTATTCTAGGACAATGTATAGTGAACTTTTTATTGAGAGAAAAACACACCATTATGTATATTGACTTTTCCTATATTGTTATCGTAACCATTACTTCACTTATAAACTTTTATAAATATCTTTAGTTTTTATCTTGGAGAATTCAAATAAGAAATTTTAGGAGTACACAATTTTTGTATGATAATGAAATATACACCATAGCTGAGAGCATCAAAAAGTTCCAAGAGTTTGCTGAGAATATGATCTGTAACTTTCTTCTCGGTGAGTGCATCGTCGAGAAGATTACAAAAGATACGGCCACTAAAGTTTGTGGTGTCTCTGCCAATGAAGTCGAGCTGATAGATCTCTATAATGGGTGTCGTTCTGCTGAGTTTAGGTACAGCAAATACACACTTATGCCTCCGCCACCACGTAAAGGCGTGAAGATTTCTCCGGTTCACACCTAAACCCTTTTCAAGATCATCAAAGCGAGTGCAAAGATCAGTTTAAGAGGGAGTTTCTACCACGGCCGAAGTTGAAACCAGCTTGGAGGGAAATGTGTAGTTTTGGCCATTACTAAATTGTATTGTAAAATATGAGATGTTTCAGGAGTAAGAAAGAGATATGAAGATGGAGTTAGTTAGTTAGCTCAATAAAAGCCAATGGCGTCAGTAATCTGAAACTGGTCTTCCTCCTAAGTCGTAACTCCTTCGGTGAAATTAGAATTCTATAAGAAAAAATTTGGAATCCCATAAATGAATTAAGAAGCGTTTGAGCTGTTAAGAGTAAAGACGACGTCATCGTTTCCGAGACGAATCAAGCTTCTCTTTCTCCTAATATGTTTCCTTCTCAACCATCTGATCTCAAAGCTTGTTCTTTATAGTACAGAGCCAAAAGCCTGAATTTTTCTTCTCTGTTTCTCAAGTTTCAGGTTTCGTGTTCGATCTTTGATTAAGATATATATATTTTTTTGGATATTTTAGGATATAGGATACTAAAGACTAATAATGACTCCAACAAGTTTTTATTGTTTGGTTTTGAAGATCTTGATGGTTTTCACAGAGATTAATCTGAAAGAAAGATAACTTCTACAGGAAGTTACTCTCTTTGGGTTAGGTTACTTGTTTCACGAAAAATTCAGGACACAAACAAACGAGCAGGGATAAGATTGAGAAACAAAAGAATAAAACAACAAAAACAAAGTGGTATATCATATGCGGACATCAATGGGACTATGGGAGGTCTTGCATGACTCTAAAATATGATCCTAGAGCTATAAGTTAAACAATGCAAAAACCATACACGTACATCATGCGAGTTGAAAATCATGGATTTGCATGTGCATTACGTCCTAAAAGTCAGTCTTGCAAGCAAGTTTCATTAGGACCGGAATGTTTCTCTTGTTAAAACTCAAACATTGAGAGTGATATAAACGTTGTACGGAATTAAAAGTAATATTAAATTTGAAACAAAAACAAAACCACACGCGCACACACACACACACAAAACCCAAAATAAATTCATAGAAGAAAATGATCGTCAGACATATAAAGAATGGTGGAAAAACGTTCTTTAATTACGATATAAAAACGTTCTTTAATGAATTTATCAATGAAGGAATATTTCGAATAAAAAAAGTACAGCAAAAGACACTCAAAAGTTTAATGTGGGCAGCCGATGGGGTACTGTATCGAGAAACGCCGTGTTCTTGTGGGCTTGATGTAATCCAGATTTGCCTTTTGAGAACCAAACTAAACCGGGATACGAAATCATTACAGTAAACCGAAACAGTACGCCTAGAGATCAATTTCGGCCGTTTGGGCCTCTTGGGGAAACCAAGCCAAATAAATGGGCTTTTCGATGAGATGTCAACGGACACTTCAAATCTCAAACCCGACATCGGTGTACCGTTTGCGGTTATATTCGGTTTATATCAATTTCCTTTGCATTCTATCAAGTAATTTGAATAGTACCCTATATGTTTATAAATGTCGATTTTCAATTTTTCAGTTTCTGCGGATTTTGGTTCGGTTGGTTGCCAGCTTTCTTTAACAAGTTGATTAAATATATCTCAAACGGAGTAAACTTTAATGCCGGTTACCTGGTTTAGTTATTGGTATAACTTGGTCCAATTATAAGCTGAATGATTAGGCTGCCAAAATGTCCCGCAATGAAATGGGAGATATTGGTACGGTCTCAGGAAACTTCTATTCATGAACAGTTCAGATTCTACCAAATCCAAACCAATCATCACTAAACCCCAACATACAACAAAAATCGAAGAGTATACACATATATCTCAAGAATCTTAGCGGATTTGATATTTAACGGCCAAATATGTTTATGGTTTAGTACGTTTCTTTTTGTTTTTGTTAAGTTGACTAGGGATTAGCGCGGATGATATTTTTTTACTTTCAATTACATTAAATAATTTTGCAAAAATAATTATTTTATGAATTTTATTTTTCAAAAATAGTTATTTTGCAATAAAAGTTATTTTGTGAATTTTATAAAATGAGTTGATTTGCATATAGAGTCATTTTATTTTTTATTTAAATTGTAAAAAATGAATTAGTCTGTATATAAAATTATTTTATAAATAGATAAAGCAAAATAATTTGTTTATTTAACCCGTTGGTATTAGATTTATTATTGAAGCTAATACACAAAGTATTATAATATTACAATTATCAAATCTAATTTGCATTACTTAATAACTGAGTTTTATAATCTGTCCACAAACTATAAAAAAGCATTTTTATCTTCTTTAACTATATATGTAAATAAATATAATATTCTTTAAATTTAGGTTTGATATAAAATTAATTAAAATATAACAAACTATATTTATTTTTAAACGATAAATTATAATATTTAGTAGATTAAATATACCACATTTTAACAAAACTAATATTTTGAATTGCGAGACTGTTTTTGGTAGATATTAAAAAATTTAAAATCATAATTCATTCATATCGAACTACCCGTTTACTTAACATGTTTATACTAGATTAAAATATAAAATTAACTATAATATGCACCGTTTAATAACTCTCACTTCACCACAAACTTTTTTAATTAAAAATCAATTTTCTCATGTCAAATTTTTGATAAAAATAACTAAAGAAAATTATTTTTGTATAGAATC